GGTGGATGAGCCAAGAAATATACATGCATAGGCATATTCATCATATACAGCTTTACAAAGACAAAGTTACCCTAGATGTACAATTTGTTACTGTTTATATCCACCCTGAGTCGGTAGTAGCGTATGTTTTGCAAGGTTAGAGAAGAATCTGAACTGAGGAGAACTATAAAAATAATCTTGGTGTCATCTGGAGTAAAATCAGTTCCATGAGAGGTCATGTAAATTCAAAATGTTACACCACCAAGTATGGTTTCAAGGATCTGAATTAGCTTCAGCCTGAAAGTAGTGCCTAGGGCCTGAAATAGAGCAGAATTTTCAACAGGCTAAAGATTGCAGAGGTACCTAAGATGAAGGGACTGATAAAGAAAGTTATAGAGGTTGTAAAAGAAGAGAGACCAAGAGTGTGCAGATGAAAAAAGACATTGATTGGAGGGGCTTTATGTAGAGAGAGAGTTGTACAATAGGAAGCCAGGAATTGTTCTGAAATAGAATTGAAAGTCCTCTGAGTTTAGCTGATAGTTGACAGAGAAGAAGGAAACATCTACAGAGAAGTGATGAGGTCAGAAGCTGAGAGTGCAAGGTTCAGTGTGAAGAAGAAGAAAAGAAACTGAATGTTTTGCAAATCATTGTAAGGAAAGTGCTGTGTGCCTAAGACAAAGGACATATATTTGAGGAAGCTGTTTTAGTCTAAATATTTTTTAAAAATTCCACAGGTTCATATGACTGATTGCTGATCTTCTAATGATGGCATGCTTTGTGAAGTTCTAGAAACTTCAGGAGGTAAGACCTAGCTGCAGAAAGTAGATCACAGGGATATGGGTTACTGGGGCTGTTGGGTTTGGGGTTCCTTCTTTTCTCCATTTCTGCTTCCTCTCTGTTATGACGTGAGCACCACTCCTCTGCTGTGCAGACCTAGCAGATGCTCTGCTCAACTACATACATACATTTAAACCACGGGCTGAAAACTCTGCGAGCCTCCTTCTGTCAAGTTTGCTCACAGTGATATAAAATCTAACACAGAAGAGAATCAAAAGATAATTGTGTGAATCGGTCCAGTGCAGGCTTCAGTTTCCCTTACATTCAGTCTTTATGAATTCTCCATTTCTCCTCTCTTTAGCTTAAGAGAGGATTCCTTTCTCAAAAAGGAATGTTTGTGTGAGGAGACTTTTCAACTTCAGGTATTCAATTAAATTCACCCCCGAAGGGCAGGAACAATACTCTGGTGCTAGATTTAAATCTGTAGTAACTAATGAATTATATGGAGCTTGGTGTCTTTCATTCCAGAAATGCCAGGCAGATTAGTCACATCCAGACAGACAGTAACTCTGACTGATACAACAGGTGCTTGCTTCATTATCTAGAAAGATTTGTCTTATTAGGTATGTTGCTGTGCTTTAGACAATTATTTATTAAGATCCTTATTTTTAAGCAATTGAGAATAAGTATTTCTTAATATTTGGCAATTTTTGGATATCTTTGGCTTCATCCTTGAAAATGAAGGTTGAGTGAAATCATAGATTGTTATGGGACAGTGGTCTTGTACCCTGCCGCTGGTACTGTTTTAATAAAACGCTGATTGACCAGTAGCCAGACAGAAAGTATAGGTGGGATGACCAGGCAGGAAGTAGAGGTGGGACAATAAGAACAGGAGAATTCTGGGAAGAGGAAAAAATTTGCAGTCATCACCCAGACACAGAGGAAGCAAGATGAGAACGCCTCCCTGATAAAGGTACATACAAAGCTACCTGGCTAACACAGACAAGAATTATGGGCTAATTTAAGATGTAATAATTAGTTAATAAGAAATCCTGAGCTACTAGGCCAATCCATTTATAATTAATGTAGGCCTCTGTGGGTTTCTTTGGGACTGATCAGCTACAGGATGGGCAGGACAGAAATCTCTGTCAACAAATGGTGCCAATGTGGACAGCTAAATCCACTTAAACCTGAGGGAGTTTGGGAAGTAATTCTAGACACAAAAGAACAGAGTTAAGCATGGCTTCTCGGTAGCAGCATTTTCTCAGGTGGGCTCTGTTTGCTAGAGGCAAGCATGTGTCATTTAAGAGACTCAGCTTTAGCCGCAAAAACCTTGCAGCTGCTTTAAGAGGCACTACCAGCAAACACTTAAATGGTGTTTATTAAGAGCAAACAGCATGCTTCTTGGTTGTGGCACAGACCTTGAAGCTCCATAGAGTTCTGGCAATAAGCATGGCTTTTGAAGTACCTCTGCCATGAAGCTAGACTCTCAGAAAGCTAAGGAATGGGGTGGATCCAGCCATCAATGCCACACCTTTAATCCTAGCCATATCACTTAGCACATTAAAGATTAATGTAGTCAGAAAAAGAGATATACAGTAAAGATGGATTCAAAGATGAAGAAAATGTCTAAATGGTTTACATTGTGTTAAAAAAAAATATATATGTAGGCTTAGGAGAAAAAAGAAAAGGGATAAAGTTCTTTTAAAAAGAGAAAGAGAAAGTAGTTGGGTGTGGTAGCACACACCTTTAATCCCAGCACTTGGGAGACAGAAGCAGACGGATCTTTGTGAATTCAAGGACAGCCTGGCCTGCAGAGTTCCAGGACAGGACAGCCAAAGACACACAGAGAAATCCTGTCTCAAAAAACCAAAAACTAAAAAGAAAAAGAAAAGAGATAGAATTTAAAATAAAGCCACGTAAAGATGGAAAATACACAGAGAGTCTGGATTGTATTGTCTTATTGTGTTGACTTTGAATTGTGCGACTGCTGAGGAAGGTGCAATAGCTGTTAAAAGACATATGATTATAAATGCTGCTGGAATAATCTAACATATGTAATTTGAAAAAGACTTGACTTCAAAATTTAAGTCAAAAGATACGTTTGGAGAAGAGGTTTTGCTTTTTTTTCCACAGATAATGAGAAGTTGTGGATTCATTTTGGGTTAAGAAAAATCAGGTTTTTTCAAGAAAGACCCCCTGAAAAATCTCCAATAAGAGCAGATGCCTCAGACGATTCAATGTTTCAGAGGACCTCTGTTGGAGTTTCCTCTGAGTTCTACATCCATAACAGCCTCAAGACTCCTGACTGAGATGATCCAGCCTCACAGAATATTCTAGTCAGAACTTGACTATAATCCTAAATTTTCTTTCGGTCCCCATAGATTATCAGTGCCCCCAATCAGCAAGATGTACCCTAGAAAACAATCCCCACATTCCCAAAATATGAATTATGGATGTTTGCCTTTGTTTAGAATGTTGGTTATAAGTTATTATGAATAATAGTCATTGAAAAAAGCTAAACAAAAGAGATTTGATTCAGAATTCTTGTTTCAAAAAGGTGGTTGCTGTGGGACAGTGGTCTTGTACCCTGTCACTTGTATTGTTTTAATAGAATGCTGATTGACCAGTAGCCAGGCAGGAACTATAGGCAGGGTGGCCAGGCAGAAAGCAGAGGTGGTGCGACAAGAACAGAATAATTCTGGGAAGAGGAAGGACTCAGGCTGCAGTTGTCACCCAGATGCAGAGGAAGCAAGATGAGAATGTCTCGCTGATAAAAGGTACCAAGCCATGTGGCTAACACAGACAAGAATTATAGGTTAATGTACGACATAAGAGTTAATAAGAAGCCCGAGCTGATAGGCCAACCAGTTTATGATTAATGTAGACCTCTGTGTATTTCTTTGGGACTGAATGGCTGTGGGACCAGGCAAGACGGAAATCTCTGTTAACAGTAGATAAACACAGTGATGATTGTAGTTTGAAGGTGAGATGTCTCCTACATGTGCTTAACACTTGATGGTGTTGTTACGTGGGAGGTTTTGGACTCCTCAGGAGTTGAAGCCTGGCGAGAAGAAGCAGCCTTGGTTTAGTTCCAACTCTTCTCTCAGCTGGAGCACTCTGTTTCCTGGTGTGAGTCAAGTAACAAGCATCTGCCTGGTGCTGCTACTGCCATGACAGTCAGAGCACCACCCAAAATGCCTTTGTCACCATGATGAGTTTGTGCCCTCTCAGACTATAAATGGAGATAAATCTTTCCTCCTGTGAGTAGTCTCTGCCAGATGTGAGAAATGCAGCTATGGCAACGTCTTCCAGCTCCACTGTTTTTATAGGGAGGCCTTTAAAAGAAGAAAAAATTACAAATCTGTATTTATAATTTTACTTGTATTTTTATTTTACCTTAATAAATTTAGCTCAAATTCTTTTAAAAACAAGGTAGATAGTTTATTTTATCTAATAACAAAATAAGTAATGCATGAAAAAAGTCAAGCATTCAATTTAAATGAGCTTTATTTGAGCAGAAGAGTCTCCAGAATTCCTTGATATATAAGAGTAAAGAAAAAAATGTTCCTATGAAAAGAGCATTCTTGAAAATACTGTTAAAAAATTGATAGTAGTAGAGGAGGAAATATTGATGAAATAATATATTTAAAATTTAGTTTTCTGAAAGTCAGGATGGACACATAAAGTTAGTGTTAGAAAGCAGAGCTATCTTGTTATACAGCATCACCTTTTATAAGTGCCTGAGAAAGTCTTGTCAGAAATGTCAAGAATTACACCAGTCACTTGGGCAATGGTTATATTAAAGGATTGCATGCTCAGTTTCTTCTGCCAAACTCATTGATCAGCCAGGTCTTTTTACCTCCCATGGAAAGCCAAAATCAAACAAACAAAGAACAGACAAAAGTTATTCTGTAATAATATTCTAGATATTCCTTCTTCTCTAAGATACAAAAAACGTGAAGTAAGGATGTTGCCCTTATAGTTGTGTATAGGATGAGTAGACGGTCATATTTGGTAGGGATGGATTCCACCCAACAACTTACTGTGATAATTAGTATATAACTCTTAGTATCCAAAACTATCTTAGTTTAGACAAGAAAAAAAGCATTGTATGGGCACACCCCTACATTTTAATTGTCCTATGTAGAACCAAGAATTGTACAGCCTTGGAAGTGGAAAGGTTGTCATATGTTTCTTGAACTTAATACTCTGTTTCTTTCTATTTAGCCTACAAAATAGCTGATTAAGATGAAGGAAAAGCCATCACAAGTTCACAAAATCAAAAGTGAAATAAAAGTGTTGAATTATCAAATATGTAGGACGCATTGATTTGTCAACTTTCCTCTTCGTGTGTGTAAGTTCTTCTAGAACACTGGGAAATGAATTTTAAGTTCTTATAATTTCAAGCTTCAATGGAGAATTTTAGTAATCTTCATTAAGCCAATATATACTTTATCATCCTTTCGCTTCATAAAAAAGGAATTTCAGGAAATCTCTGGTTAAATCTAATAAATACATTGAAATATTTTACCTTTTCTTAAAGGACCTAGATAGAAAATAGTCAAAATTCATTTTCAATATTAATGATCTTTTAAAAATATTTTTACTGAAGCATTATTGTGTGTTGTCCCCTTCCCCCTTCAGCGCCCTCCATTCCTGCTCTCACTCCCCCTCAGACTGTGGCCTCTTTTTCATTGATTATAATTAGCTGTAAAAAGACATCACAAATATATAAATGACAAGACACGCATGAATGATTTTGTTTTGTCTCTTTTGCTTTGTTTTTCTTTGGGTTTTCCTTGTTGTTGTTTTGAGACAGGGTCTCTATTTGTGACAATGCTGTCCTGAAACTCACTGTGTAAACCACGCTGGCCTTGAACTCAGAGAAATCCACCTGCCTCTACCTCCCAGTGCTGGAATTAAAGGCATGAGCCACCATGCCTAGCAGTATTAATGAATTTTAATGCAACCATCACTAGCACTTAACTTCATTTAACTTTTAGAGAATAGTAATTTTAAAGTGTTTTAATAAATGTAATTATGTTTCTTCAGGTCCTTTGATAAGAAACAAGATGGATGGGAAATATAAGTGATGTCTAAATTAATTCCACTGTTATTGGCCCAAGAGTAACAAGGAATTACTTGCAGGTAAAGGAAAATTCATTATACCTGGTCTTCAAAGGATTCACAAGTAGTCGATGAGAGTCACAAAAGGCACTGCTTTGTAAAACATCTTATAACAAAATAGCTTTGAGTTTTCAAGGAACTATTTTATGAGCAGGTCTTATTGAACAGGCAGAGATTAGGAACAGACTTTATTTTTTAAAATTATAGTAAATGGCCTACTTATTTGGATAGTTGACGACTAGGAGAAAGGAAACATCTATTTTTGCTTGGTAATGAATTTATGTACCAACAGAATGTATCGAGACGAGAACTCGCATTAGTGGTGAAGTCGAAGGGAAAGCTGATTTAAAAAGCAAGACATTCTTTACAGAAAATTCTGTGTGAGAGCAAAGGCTATGGTGCTAAGATGAATAAATGAAAAATATTAACTAGTTTTCAAACTATTATGTTTTTTAAAGATTTACTTATTTATTATGTATAGAGTATTCTGTCAGCATGTATGCCTGCACACCAGAAGAGGGCACCAGATCTCATTATGTATGGCTGTGAGTCCCCACGTAGTTGCTAGGAATTGAACTCAGGATCTCTGAAAGAGCAGTCAATACCCTTAACTTCTGAGTCATCTCTCTAGTCCCCCCTCCCCAAGTATTGTATTTTTTAAAAGATCTATAAAGAAAGTCCTGCTAACAAAAGAATAGAGTTGAAACTATTGTCTACAAGATATCTATAAAGGTAATTTTTCATATTTTTCAATTATTTTCAAGAAAATTAAAGGTAAAATCATCTTTCAGGAAAATATAATGTCTTTATATAAAACTGTAAAAAAAAATAGAAGCATATTTTTTTAAAACCCCAGATTAGTTGCTGTGAAAAATGTTATAACAGAGATTAAGCGGGATAGTCAAGAACGCTTTCCTTTGGTGGTATCTGAACTGAGATCTGATGCTTGGAAAGGAAACAGCAATTAGGGAAGCCGTGCTTCGGTAATAAAGCTAATGGACTTAGAATTTTTTTTATTCCTGTTTTAGGCACTGCTGCCAGAATCCAGAGCCTGTGCCTATGCGCAAATCCTCTACCACTAGCCTATATTCCCAACCCTAGAATTTTATTCTAAGAGCATTAAAAAAGTCACCAATGAGTTTAAAGCAAATGATAGATAAGATTTCTTTAATGTACTAAAAAGTTCACATTTATTAGGGGATATTATTTTAAGGTGTGTAAGTTTTGTTTATGCTGCATTTTCTTAATTCTGTGAAGCTGTGATTCTTTGTCTGTCTAAAACACCTGATGGTCCTAATAAAGAACCAAACAGCCAATCATGAGGCAGGAACAAGGACAGGTGGGCTGGCAGGCAGAGACTATAAATAGAAGGAGAAACAAGGAAGAGGAGCTGCAAGAGAAGGAGAGGAGACCACCAGGGGGCTAACATCCAGTCAGCCACAGAGTAAAAAGGAAAGTAAGATATACAGAAGTAAGAAAGATAAAAGCCCAGAGGTAAAAGGTAGTCGAGATAATTTAAGAAATGCTGGCTAGAAACAAGCCAAGCTAGGGTTGGGCATTCACAACTAAGAACAAGCCTCTGTGCGTGACTTATCTGGGAGCTGGGTGGTGAGCACCCCCAAAAGCCAAAAGAGTGAAACATTGTACTACACACATTGGTTTCTTGGTTATTAAAAAAAAAAATAGAATGCGTCAGAGATAGGAAAGTAAATGAAGAAGTCACGATGGTTTTTAATGAGTTTGAATGGTGAAGATAGAAAGATAAACACTAAACACCTACTTGGTAAGAGAGCCAGTGGGATTTCCTGGTGCGTTCAACACAGAGTTAAAAGAAAAGAGAGATTCAAAGACAATGATAAATGGCTAAATTGTGAGGTCATTTATTAAAATGGAAGAGAGTGAGGAAAAAGTTAAAATTGGGGTAAGCAGGTATTCTTTATTCACTATATTAAACTTCTCATACTTTCCAAATACCTAAGCTACAGCGCCAGGTTTTCTGGAAATTGTAAGTTAATTTTTAACTCAACATTTACTATGCCCTTCAGACATGTCACAGGATCATAAACGTTAGAATTCATGCCTATGCTTATATATACAGACTATGTAATGGCTTTGTTTTATATAAAACCACTCTAGCTTTCAGCTTGAGTCTCCTGTATATGAGTAGGAAACAATGAAAATTAAAGCCAGAACTGGTTGCCCAAGCCAGTAACTGGAGGGCTCAGAAGGCAGTGGCAGAAGGATCCCAAGTTGCAGGTCATCTTGGACTATATGAGAGGCTGTCATAAAGAAAAAGTTAACAAAATTCCAATTCTGTTTAAATTCATCCTAATGTAGCATTTCACAAATACAATGTTCCTTTCTGTATAATTAAAATGTTCAGTATCTCATGATCTCCTCTGTTCTTTTTTGGCCCTTCTTAAATAAAATGTATCGGTTTCTTCATTGTCCTTGCTGAGATTCTGGAGTTTGACTTTGGATTTTATTGGCATGTGAGATAGGATCTCATTGAACTCCTGATCTTGACTCCAGCTTCTAAGTGCTGGCTGCATCAACCTTTTGTCTTTATGCCATTAGATGTGTCAAGCTCTTTTGTCATACTGGAAATTGAACTCATGGCTCCACACACCACCAAAAAGCTACACTCCCAGCCCAGTGGAAGAAGTCCTGTAGCATGAAGTGAAAGGACCTTGTACAACCAACCCTCCAGTAGCAGGAAAGAGTCAAGGGTCTTGAAAGTAATGTTCTGAACCTCTTCATGGTTCTCATATAATATTCTCTGCTCATCTCATTATTAATTTTTACTTCACACTAAGATTTAAATCTAGCATAACCTAGATTGTATTTCCTAGCCTCAGTCATTGTCTGTCTTGATTTTTTTTGCAGTCTGGGTCCAGTGTGCTCACCTGCTAGTTCATCTAATACTCAGGGTTTGGCTGTGTCTCCCATGTGGTACACAGCACCTCTAAAATATCACTAATATTCTTATTCTGCTGTGGGAACTTCCTCCAGCAAGCTCTCCTGGTGCCCAACAACTATAGGTCCATCTAAATCACTTAGGAGCAGAACCTGCCCAGGAAAGCTATATTGCCAGGCCTTTTTCCTCCTGCTCCGGGATAAGTGACTCTGTCCCCATTGGTATATCAAACTAGCAGGTTTGATTCCTCCCTTCATCTTAAATATCGACTGAGAGAGGATGAGGATCTCTCTCCACTCTCCTTGCTCTCGATTAGTTAAAGAATGTCCATTTCCAGGAGAGACCAAAATCTCTTAAGAGGGAAAACGTCACAGAAACACATCTGCTTCCCATCCTTCTCCTTCTTCCTGTAAGTCCTGTGAGGTCAAAATCACTTGAGAAATGTGCATGGGTGTCACATAACCTCCATCTGGAAAAGGTACCCTTATCTGCACAAGTATATCATTGACCGGAACTTGCCCTTTCATACCCATGTAATTATAAGGGAACCAGCAAGGTAAAAGAGCCAATGGAATGTTTGATCTGTATCTGTCACAGAACCAGGAACGTGATTCATACACCCAGACACCTGCTGCCTCCTAATTTCAGCTTTCTTTTGCAAGGTTGCTTTTAAGTTCGAAATAAATATCATTATCCTTGGAGGAAAGCACTTCTAACCTTCGTGGTTGCAAAAGAATATTGCAATATCATTATAAACTTTTATGGGTTTGAGATAATTATATCTTTAATACAGAATTTTTATAGCATGAGGAAACACCTAGTCTTTCACTTCTTAGGAATAAAGTACAAAATAACTACAATAATAAAAACCCAGGAGCAACGAAAGCTAAGCTTCTCTGTGTGTTGCTACTGGCTGGCCAACTTCCATTGACAGGTGTCCAATTATAAAATCCCTATTGCACCACAGAGTCTTGGATGACAGATTCCTGCAACTTTAAATAGTATTAACAGAAGGTAATTAAAACTCACTGCAAAATGTCCTTTCAAATGTGCCACTGACTTTGGGAAGTGTAAGGAGGTAGCACCATCTGGTGGTATCATTTTAGACATTTGTTAAGATTGGCATTATCATCGATGAAATATTTTCCCAAATGAAAACTTTCAGAGTGCTTTGGATTTGAGACTTGAGAGACAAAATCCTCTTTTCAAGAGATAAGATAAATAGAAGGAATGTTCGGGACTTTGTTGACATGTTGCTTCTGAAGGATAACTACCCAGATGAAACCCAGGTAAACTAAAGCAGGCTCTGGCGGTGTGTAAGGTTCATTAATAACCGCAAGTAATTCTTATTAAATCGCCAAGTGCCCCGATTTTTAAGAAACTTCTTGTTTAGACCAAAGTCCTTTGGGCTTCGTAAATCCCTGACTGACTGAAGAACTGGTAGGAAATGGCCAGCAGGGGGCCTTCACACCTGAGGGATATTTTGCTGTGGGTTTTGTTTTCGGTTTCTTGTTTGTTTGTTTGTTTTGATTTGATTTGTCAGCAATAGCATGAGTGGCTGCAGGCTTTGACAAAGCAATTAAGAACAGTCTCGGAACCCCATTCCTTCAGCACACATTTTTTTTCTTGAAACTTTAACCTTGCTTTGAGAAATTAATCTTGAAATTTTATTTGATGATTATTGTTGAGAAATTAACTTTGAGCAGCTATACTAGTGACATAATTATCAGTCACCCACTCCTCAGGTGCCCTCTCTCCTTCTCTAAGCAACCATTCCTCAGCTTTCTGTCTTTATAGATTTTCATGCACTGAAAACTTTGTATGAGTAGAAATCTATTTGTATGAATGGAATCATGCATAATGGTGTCATCTGTGAGTGGTAGTTTTAATTTAACTCAATATTTTCAGGCTCATCCACGTTATTGTATGAATGCAAGCTCATTCCTTTCTGAGACTAATTACAATCTACTTAGATGGGGACTTGTCATGTATCCCAGGCTGCCCTCAATTTGTGATCTGCTTCAGACTACCATATGCTGGAGTTAATAAAGTTTAACCTCATCACACCCAGTTCTAAGGCTGAGTTTTTACTAGTCATACAAATGTGAACTTGAAGTCTTGATATTTAAGACTTTATTATATCTGTGAACTATGCCATGGCAAGTAAAACCTAAGGCAAAATGAATTGTGTATAATTAAATTCCCAAAGTAGTTTACAGAAGAAACACATAGGTACTTTAGCCAAATGCATAATGACAATAAAAGATAATTAAAACTTTTATTCTGTTCCTAATAATGGTGATAAAAGGCACATAAACTAGACAGTTGCTGTATGCTATGTAGTTTAATTGAGCAGTATTGATTTATGCAAAAAAATCAGGTTTTTTCCTATTATCAGTTATAAAATAATGCCCAGGCACCATGGTCTGCCCATATCCCCAAAGGAAGGGTTAGAAGGATTCATTTCAAAGCCATCGCCCAACTAAAAATTTAAACTGGGTTATACACAAAAAGAGAATAAAAATAGAAGTTTGGGGTAAGTGGCCAAACTATGGAGCCAATTGCATGACTGGGAGCATAAGGAGAAGGTGAATCTGTCGTATATCAATTTCTCTGGAAGTTAAACTTTCAATCCTTAAGACTCAGGAAGTAAATAAAGCTCCAAGGCTCAGGAAGGAAGGAAACAATTTATAAATCTCAGGAAGTTCCTAAAATTTGCTTGGTTTACAAAATCTCTCCTTGAGGTTCCATGAGCAGTACAGACTGCTGAAGAGAAAGAGACTCCAATCTGTTAAACTGTTTGAAAGACGTATAGGGAACCCTAGGAGCGCAACATTCATGAATGATTATCTATCTGGTGTGTGCTTTTCAGTGCCTCTGCCTTTGAGTCATCCACACCCCTATATCCTTATCCATTCCGTAAGTAACCCCGCTAAAGTCATTGGCTTGCCAAGGTGGCTTTGGTAGTTTCTTTGGTTCCTATCTGGGATTTTCTTCATAACTCTCCAGGAAACTCGGACACACAACAGGGTTTCTTCAGATAAATAAATTCAGCCATTCAATTCTAGTATAGGAAGAAATGCCATTAATGGCTACGTACTGAGCATCTTATATAAAATAATTGTAACTAAGTAGTCAACAGAAAAGGATATTTTGAGTGGGCATCATAATAACCTTCTATGGAAGTCATCTCTAGTATCTAAAGTAGAAGCAGAGTTCAAACAGCTATGAGCATTTAAAAGAATAAGACACCACTCATATTTATATATTTATAAAATATGTATACCAAGTGCCAGAGGAAGCCAAAGAAAACATCTTTGGACCGAAGT